TATTGAATTAAATACAGATATGCGAAATCGTTGATTTTGTATGGGAAATGGGTGGCCCCCACTAGGGTGGCCCCAGTAAGGGTGGTTTGACTTATACGCCATAATGATGAAAAGGGGAGCCCCTAAGCCGGGAGACAACCTTGGCTGCCAACTCATACTCGACTCCTTCGGCTTCATGGTAAATAATATACAGGTCTTGGGTCTGAGGATTGAACTTAGCTAACAGACTTGACAGTTCAGGCTTCTCATAAGAGGTGAAATCGACGACTTTTTCATGCGACCTGACTGGGAGAATGCACTCGTGAGCTTCTTCGCCCAATACAAGACCCGAAAGCCAATTCTCGTCGAGATATCTAAGATCATCCACCAGTCGACGATGCTTGCTGACGTCGTAAGACGCTTCGCAAAGATCCGCAAGATCCCTGAGCACCTACAAGACTTGCGTGTTCTTGAAGCGCTCTCTATAACTCTTAACGACGTAGGGGAAAATTTCCGCGCGCTCGACCGAAAAACCGTACAGCCTCTATTGCAGAGCAAGACTATTTACGAAGAAGACGACCTGGGATCGCCTTTTGGCACGAGTTACATGTTTCCGAACGGCGTAACTGCATTGCATTTCACTAACGTAGCCTCCTTTAACATCGTGATCAATACGCTTAGACAAGAGTTGAATACGATGTTAGATATCAACGACCCGAGTCTGAAAGCCGAATGTCTCGAATGGAGCAGACAGATCTGGAAGTCTTGTCGATATACCTTGTCTTTGAAACCGCTTTGCTCGGCGTTGTTCAGCAGGCACATATGTGTATCATATATGTTTGCAGGGCCTCCTGACCGAGCTTACCTTCTTGACGTCTTGGAAGAAACCGACAGCTGTCGACAACATTCTGCCAGAAGGTGGACGGAGTCAGCTGTGTTCTCGCAATATAATAGCCTCCTAGGACGATGATCTGGGGAAAGGTGATATATGTGCTCAATTATGAGGAGGATCAACTATGGCTTGGCCTAATTCGGTTCGGAATACCACCCAGGAAATTCAACTAGTACTATTATGAGAGAAAATCTCTGTACCTCGGAATAATGATGTATATATTCAAAGAATTCGTGTGTTCAACGTCGACCGTTTGAAGGATCACTCTATCCACTCTTTCTTGATATGTAATATCAACGTACCATGCTATGATTGCGAATCCTCAATGATAACAATCCTCGTAAATGAAACCACAATAGTTTATTTTATATATAGAACTCTAGGAGTCAGAGTCACTGACTTCAACCAAGTTTCATTAACTAATACTTATATATTGAAGGTTGTTGTTGATTTATTAGCACAGAGTTCCTTTAATCAAGCGGAGAACCTGATTGTAATATTAATACGGTATTCTTACACTCCATGTCTGCAGTGCTCACGTCCAATACATGTCTATTATTGGCGTATATGAACCAGACTGCCATATCTCAATGCCATGCCATCTTCCCATAATATCATGTACGACTTTATCCAATGAGTGTTGAGATGCACGCCTATCAAAACTGCGTTTCTTATCATTGGTAGTTTAGTAGCCCCTATACAGGCTAACCCGTTCAATAGAAGTTATTCCTTGGATTGGAAGTCTTGTCCGACTTGGTTACCATCGTGGCACTCGTCGTTAAGATGTGCCAACTTACTAGTGCCTCTTGATTGGAATCATCCGGAAAGGGGAAACATTAGGGGGCGAGCAAACGAACTAGCTAGGCGGATCATATGGGACGCAACTTGGATCACAATACATACACGGAGCTATTTCACAATTCCATTTGATCGATGATGCTGTGTCACTAACCGACGGCACCTCAGCCGCCCCGGTCAACAGCAACTCGGCCGCATTCGCAGGACTGGACGCGTAACGACAATGCAGCCGAATACGTCAATACCAGCTCATACATACATAGTGTACGGTCCAATTACCCCAACTACCCTGCATTGGATGGTCCGGCAATGCCCGGATCCCGGGTCATACGTAGAATATCAATCCCTGGGACTGGTAGCCTACCGAAGATCCTCATGGACGAAGCTATGTAGGTTAGGTATGTATGTATTTGCGATTTCGCTACACCGCTTCCCCGCGAGGCATGCAGCTAAGAGAGGACAGCGGCAAGGATAAAATGATATGTATTGGTCTTGAAGAATGCCGGCGGACACTCCACTTACGGGTAGGTAGGGGGATGCTCCCGGAGGAGAAACGAGTTCGGTGGTCGAAAGATATGTGCATTTCCAACATGACTTTTCTACATAGGTTAACTAACCTGTAATCTTGAATTCTTAAAGTCAGGGGTAGACATTTAAAGTTGCATAACTGGGCCCTACAAGGCTTAGTTTACTTGGAAGCCCATGTCAAATATGCATAACTGTCGATGATATAGGTTAGGTCATTGGATAATCCCTACTTACGGCTATTGGCTTATGTATTGTTCATCGTTTTCGTTTAAGAAAACCTACAATAGATATTGTGCTATTTTATGTGTATACATTCTTCTCTTTCGTTAACGCTGAATGGCAGTTTTCTAAATATAAACTGCTAAAGGGCTTTCTTTAACTAGGTAGTTATTATATTATGCACCTTAGAACTCCCAAAGAATCATCACAACTCTCCCGTTGTCGGGGCTACTTACCTAATTGTTTAGGTTACCTATGTATAATAATTGAACGCGTTTTGGAACTTAATACTGTGTCTCTTCTTTGGGTATGCATATCGCTTCTTTGCCAGTCCCGCTCGACTGTTGATCCGGGTATTCACAGTAAGGAATCCTATAGGTTATTATTTAAAGCAATAGCTATAGTTAACTATACCTAATTCTTCATAATGGTGTGTTTTCTCGGTCTGAGGTAACTTGTCAAAGCGTTTAAGCCACCGGTCCTGATCCCGATAGGACGGGTTAGGTATCAGATGTAGAACCCGCCAGACGCTTTGACCTTCACTATTGAGACCCCTATTGGTTGATCCATGGGTGTTACAAAGGCTATGTGCATTCGTATGCCGTCATGTGATCTTGGCCTCCTCACCTCGCGTCTTCACCGTTTCTTAAGTACCATAATATATTCATAATATCTTCTTAGATACTATAACACTATAACACATGGAATATAGAGAAAATAGAGAAAAGAAAATTTTCATATTGGCATTGTTGACATTGTTGACATTATCATTCCATTCGTTTCCAAACCCAAACCTGATTCATTCTGTAACTACCTTATCCAACCGTGCTCTTCGCTACAACCGTTTCAGCAATGCCCGCGATGGATACCCCGCCCATAATCTCAAATACACCCACCGGGGCGCTGAATTCTCTGTTAATCCAGTTCCTCACTTGTACAGCCATGAGTGAATCAACACCATATGCCGATAGTGGCTTGCTCGGTTCGACGTCCTCGGGTGCTATAGACATAGCCCGAGCTAATTTGGACGCCAGCGTTTTCAATACAACCTGAATACGCTCTTCTGAATCTTTCGCCTGATTAAAGAGGGCCGCCGCTTGCTGGTCGGGGGCTAAGTTGCTGCTTGTACTCGTGTTGTCTGCACCCGAACCGGAGCCCACCAGGTACGAAAAAGCAGCGTACAGTGGCTGGTCTAGAATAGCTGCTGGCGTTCGACCCTGGGCAAGGGCATCGGCAGGCGTGCGTAGACCGAACAGAACCTGACTTATTGGGAGTGGGTTAGTTGGGTCGCATCCCAGTGTTAGCAGGGCAAACAGCTCGGTATCATCGGTCTGTTGCATGTCATCAGCTTCTTGACGTTGGCGTTGGTATTCGCCAATTTCAGAGATCTGCCCAACATTGCGCATCCAGCCGAGGTCGATCGACAGAGCTCTTTGACCATTAGCCCTACGGTAGGCGGCGAGCGTATCCTGGAACGAACAACCGCCGGCGTAGTTGGAACTTGCCAATTGACCATTGATACCGGCAAGAGAGGAGAGGAGGATGAAAAAGTCCATATCCGGGGGTAAGAGACGGTGCAGATTCCACGACGTCTGTACCTTAGAGCGGATCGGAAGCTTCCACTGCTCATACGTCATGCTATTCTGGAATATAGCATCTTGGAGGACGACAGTAGCGTTGATGCACCCTTTGATGGGTGGCATAGTGTGGGAGCACTCCTCTAGCACATAAGCCAAGCTGATTTCTGATGACACGTCGCACCTTGGGGCGTAGACATTAACACCACGCGCCCTCAACTCGGCCACCGTCTCCGCAGCGGCCTTGGACTTGGCACCAGATCTGGAAGGGATAATTAGATGCTTGGCTCCTCTGTCCACCATCCACCGAGTAATTGCTCGACCTACACCACCAGATCCACCGGCGATCAGGTACGACGCATTTTCGTCAAATCTCCACGAACGCTGTTCTTTTATAAATTGCTGTTATGTGCACATGTTAGCCTGACATTCGATATATTGGGAGCGTGGCTGTTGTCAATTCCTTGACAATAGGCCTTCTGGTGGTTAACTTACTGGAACTACCTTCTCAGGTGTTGGGCGAATGACTATTCGGCCAATCTCCCCGCCATCCTGCAGCTGCTCGAAAGCTTGTTTAATATCGCTCACTTCGAACACGCGCAACGGCTGAGGGTACTGGATATTACCCTCGCCTAGCAGCTGCACTGTGCTTTCGAGCAGCTTAGCTGTAGTTCTCGGTTTCAAGCGTGTAATATCGACCACTGAGAAGGTGATATTCTTGGCAAATAGCACCATAGGTAGCGTGGTATTCGCCGTCATGTTGCCGCGACCGATCTCGAGGAAATGTCCATTGGGAGCTATGCATTCACATGAAGCCTGCAATTCATCGCTGCCCGCCAGTGAGTTCCAGACAATATCGACGCCATATCCCCGTGTGGCGCGCATTACTCCTTTCGCGAATAGGGCGCTTTGACCGTAGAAGATGCGGTTTTCGGGAATATTATACGTTTTCACCAGGAATTTCTTCGCTTCGGGTGATGATGCAGTAGCAAAGATGTCGGCGCCTTGCTTCTTAGCAACCTGAATGGCTAGCTGGCCCATGCTACCTGCGGCTGAGTGGATAAGAATCTTGTCACCTTGTTGTATTCTGGCGATATCGACAAGAGCATGGTATGCCACCATACCAGGAGCGAGTATAGAGGTAACAAGTTCGAATGATAGCGAATCGGGTAGTTTGAATACGCTTGTTTCCAAAGAGCGAGGGAACTTGCGCATGCAACCGGGCTTCACCATGCAGACACGATCTCCGGGCTGGAATAGGGTACAAGCACGACCGACCCGAGTGACAACACCAGCACAATCAGCTCCCAACGACTCCTGGCTGCCTTCTTGGTTCCCAAGCGCCGCCTGAACATCTTGGTCACTCAACCCCCAAACCTTGGCCTCGATCTCAACCTCATAGGGAGCGATGTCAGCCCCATATTCAGTGTCTAGGACAAATTGTAAAGAGTCGAGATTGTTGCCGCCATTTGCTGAGAGCTGCACGGCAGGTGCCTCGGCCCAGGGCTTGTGTTGTAGTTTAGGGAAGAGAAGGGATCGCATCGTGTCGTTTCCTTCTACATCTTCGACGGCCCGACCTGTTAGAAGCAAACTGTCTCTGACGATATACTCGAGCTCTTTAGACGACGACTCAAAGGAAGCCCGGAAAGCCTTTGCAATGAAAGAAGAGCATTTCGTCGCGTCTGCCTCATTTTCGATAGCTATGGTCACAATTTGACTATCAGGTTGTTCAGCTCGAACAGAGCGAACGAAGCCCTGTAGGAAGCTATGGTCAGGATACTGTGCGTCACTAGTGTTTGTCGCTGTGGCCCAGAGTAGTCTAGGTGCCCGCCCAATTATTGTCTTGAGGCACATAAAGCCCTCTGCGGAAAGGCTTGTAAGCAAAGGTCTGTTATTCACTTCAGCAAGGCAGACGACAATATCATCCCCGGTTACACCCTCTAGCTCATTAGAAAGCTCGTTCAAGGCAAATGCACAGATAGTTGCTTGCCGGTCACCTTTAGGGTTAATGCTACTAAGCACTGCATCCGCCAACCGTTTTTGGCCATCGTCAGGCTGTTGCGTGTCTGTGACGAGAATAAGGCGACCGGACTTTGGTATTGACTGGGTGGTGTCTTTAGCTTCTACCGCTGTAGACACGATAGTGCTCATCACATGACACACGTCGCTCTGGTAGTCGCGCATGATCAGATCGTTCCCAGAGAAGCCATTGGCTCGTAAGCACTTGTCCCAAATATCCTCGGGTAC